GACCCAATTTCTTTTCACCCTACGGATTGTTCGAAAGAGTAGAAATTAAAACTCTACTTTCGTTAATTATTGGCATGTTCAAGTTATGGATATATAAGTTTTTCTCATAGTTCGTACTATATATGATGATAGATGCATGTGATCAAGTTTAAGATTTCAATATTATTTTAAAAGATAGAAGTCATTTATTCTTAAGACACCACAATATATTTAAGCAAATTTAATCCTAGTGGCGGACCTTCACTATGACAGGGGAGCCACAGCTCTCCCAAACTTTTCCAAATTTTCATATATATATATATATATATATATAAGGGAATGCTAATATATTCTTACTTATTTTTTAGTTGAAGTATGTTAGTAATCTACATTAAAATTTTAGGACAAAAAAATCACTCATTTATTTTAATTTGGTTAATTTGTACAAAGGATATTATAGTAATTTAATTTAATGTTAAATGAAAATAAAATATTTTCTCTCTCTTATTAACTTTATTCTCTAAGTCGTTTATATTTTTTTATTTGTTCAGAGAGGGGAGACATCATGAAAGATGAGAGAGAAATGAGTTAAAGAAGGAATTTAATAGGAGAAAGATAAATATGTTAGAAAAAAAATTTAATAAGAAAGAGAAGTGGGTAATTAATTTTTTATTTGTTCAGAGAGGGGAGATATCATGAGAGATGAGATGAGAGAGAAATGAGTTAAAGAAAGAATTTAATAGGAGAGAAATAAATAAGTTAGAGAAAAATTTAATAAGAAAGAGAAGTGAGTTGGAAAAGAAATTTAATAAAAAAATAGAAACGACTTAGAGAATGAAGTTAATAAGAGAGAGAAAATATTTTATTTTTATTCAAAAATTAAATTAAATTACTATAATATCCTTTATATAAATTAGCCAAATCAAAATAAATGAGTGGTTTTTTTGTCTTAAAATTTTGGTGTAAGTTGCTAACATACTTCAACTAAAAAATAAGTGGGAGTATATTAACATTCCTCACGAGTTTATTTGTTGTGTGTGCTGTGTGCATAAGCTAAATCTATATCTAAACTGATTAGGGAGTGTATGATAATGAGTTAAAAGGATTAAGAAGTTATTTTGAGACTTAAAACAAAGTTTTGAAAACTAACTCAAAATAATCGATTATCATTAAATATAATGTTGATGCCCTTTCTAGGAGACATACTTTGCTAGTCTCCCTTGGATTCTATCTTTGTGGTAGTGGATTGATTTAGTAAAATGGCCCTACACACCCTTGCTAGTTGCTAACTCTCCTTGGGTGGATATAAGTATGGACTTTATATTGGGCTTGGCCAGAACCCAGAGAGGCATGGATTCTATCTTTGTGGTAGTGGATAGATTTAGTAAAATGGCCCATTTTATACCATACCACAAGATAGATGATGCAAGCAACATAGCCAGACTCTTCTTCAAGGAAGTGGTTAGACTTCATGGTCTACCCAAGACAATTATGTCAGATAAGGACACTAACTTCCTTATCTATTTTTGGAAAACTCTTTGGAGTAGGCCAGGAACTAAGCTATTTTTCTCAACTACTTGTCATCCCCAAACTGATGGGCAAACAGAAGTAGTTAATAGATCCTATCTACCATGTTAAGGACAGTCCTTAAAGGTAACCATAAGTCTTGGGATGAGTACTTATCCCATATTGAATTTGCTTCTAATAGGGTAGTCCATAAGACTACCAAAATCTCACCTTTTGAGGTTGTTTATGGTTTTAACTCTTTCACTCCTTTGGACCTAATACCTCTACCATATTCTTCTCATTATTTTCATAAAGAAGGGGTATTTAGGGTTGATTTTGTTAAAAAGTTACATGAGAAGGTTAAAATTCATATTCAACAACAAAATGAGAGAACTGCTTTAGAAACAAGCAAAGGTAAGAAATACCTCATTTTTGAGGAAAGATATTGGGTTTGGCTTCATTTAAGAAAGGAAAGGTTTCCTTCTCAAAGGAAGTCTAAACTCAATCCAAAAGGAGATGGTCCTTTTCAAGTCCTTCAAAGAATCAATGATAATTCTTACAGCTTAGATCTTCCTAGTGATTATGGAGTAAGTAACACTTTTAATGTTAGTGATCTTATTCCTTTTAATGTTAGTGATCTTAGACTCCATTTAACCTAACCTTGAAGTATAGTCATTTTCTATTTTTTCAGTAGTAGAAGTGGGATGGCATTTAGCAATGCTTGAAGGTGTGACTAGTAATTGGGCCATTGGGCCTAGGCAAAATTTTACATATTAGAATCATTTTGGCTCCTAATTTTTCATAGATTTGATTTAGCTAGGTTTCATCATTTTTGGATGAACCTAACTAAACCAAATCAAACATTTTTGAAATAATCAAAGTGAGCAAAATGAACCTTTGGCCGCCCACCTTGCCTAGTCTCCTTTTTTTGGCCGAATTGTTCTTCTCTTCCCAAAGCTTTGAGAAGCTTGTGCTACAAGCTTCTCCTTAGCTTTCTTCCCAAGAAAGCTAAGTGAGAAGCTTGCTTGACAAGATTCTTAACTAGCTTGGACGGAGTAAAAAAAGAAAAATTCTATTTTTTTATTTAATAAAAAAATTAATTTATAATTTTATATATAAATAATTTGACACCTCCAAACTTTTAATCCAAGTTCCGCCACTGTAATCCTAACCACAAGTGAACATGCATCTGCACTGATATTGGACAGAATGACATACCAATTATGACGTACTAAGCACAAAATAATTTTGTATCAAATAATTAAGAAGTCATTTTTTTTAAAGAATACAAGGAATATTTTAACACTGGTACCACTACTAGATTTTAATCCAGCGACGTCTCAGAGGGGTACAATTACAGCTCGAGATAGGGGAATTCCAATATGGTCAAGTCTAGTTAAGGCTCTTCCTTCTCTTCGGGAAGGTTTCGAGCCTCAGCTAGGGTCGGGTGCCTCCTCCCTTTGGTACACGGATTGGTCAGGTACTGGGCTTTGGTGCGGGAGAGTCCCGTACGTTCATGTTGCGGACATCAACAAAACGGTCGCTGACTGCTGGGTTAGTGGAGTTTGGAATTTTGATAATTTGTATACTGCTCTTCCGGCAGAGCTGACTAGTTCAGTCCAACGGTTGCGGGTCGTCAATTCCTCTTTGGGAGTGGACCACTTTGGTTGGAGGGGTGATAACTCGGGTTGTTACACAGCGGCCTCTGGATATCGTTTTCTGACCCCGGGTTTGTCAACAGAGGGGGATATAGTTTGGAAGAGGGTCTGGAAGCTAATGATTCCAGAGAAGGTTAAGTTCTTCCTGTGGCAGTGTCTGCATTCAGCCCTTCCAACGAACCAGGTACGGGCTGACAGGAGGCTCTCTGAGTCCGGCGCCTGTTCGCGATGTTCTTGCCCCCATGAAACCATTTTGCATGCTCTGCGGGATTGTCCGTACTCGCGAGAGGTGCTGATGGCTGGCGGGGTCAGTACGGGGTGGTCCTTCTTGGAAAGGGATTGTTTTCAGTGGCTGAAGGGGATCATTTTGCACAAGGAGGCTATTACCCTATCCTTCACCTTGTGGTGGATCTGGCGGTTTAGGAATCACATGTTGTTCAACGGTGAGCTTTGGACGATCTCGGCGGTCCGGCGGAAGGTGACACTGTCTACGGTGGAGAACGAGGTGTTTAATGCTAAACGAGGTTTGTGGCTGGAGCAACCCCTATGGAGTCCTCCGGAGCATCCGTGGGCCAAACTTAACACGGACGGGAGTTGCTTGAGTGACATCTCTGCTATGGGGATGGGTGGAGTTATACGCGATTGGACAGGCAGGTGGCGAGGTGGTTTCTCGCGTGGAGCGTCGACTGGGGATGCGCTACGTGCTGAGCTGTTGGCTTTGGAGGATGGCTTATCACTTTGCTGGGCAAGTGGGTTTCGGAAGGTGAGTTGTGAATGTGATTGTCTGGAAGCTGTTTCGCTGTTTCAAGCTAGGTCAACGGAAAGGGACCACTTGCACAATCATTATGATGTTATTCGCCGGATTCAGTGCATGCTAGCCTGGGACTGGGTAGTTTACATTAGCCATATCCCTCGTGACATAAATTCAGTAGCCCATACGCTTGCCAATTGGGGGGTGCGGAACACGAGTTCCATTGTATTCTGGAGGAGTCCTCCTGATTTCATCTTGTTACAGTTAGGAAGAGACTCGGTGTCTTGAGCTTTCTTGTGTTTTATGTTTCATTCTTTACCAAAAAAAAAGATTTTAATCCTTTAGTAACATTTTCTTGTTTGCATTTATTAAAATGTTACTATATATTAAATAAATATGTTATTTTGTAACACTTTTTTGAAAAATCTCATTATAAATAGAGTAACATTTTTTATTTCAATATTATTCTTTCTAATTGTTTTCAAAATCAAAGTCCCATATCGAGTAAAAAAAATTTACATAAGTTATTTTGCAACATTTTTTTGAAAAATGTTACTATAATTGCTTCTAAAGTCAAAGTCTCACATCGAGTAAAAAAAAGTATATTTCTCTTATATCTAATTGTAACTCATAATTAAAGTCCCACATCGAATAGATTAATGACTCATAAAGAGTATATATACTCATATAGTTATACTTAAGATAAATGAAATTTGATATTCTATATATAATTAGTGGTGACTAACTAAAAATGTCTTTTCCTAAAAACTTAAGGAAGGCTAGAAGTTTAGGAGACATAAAAATATAATAATTGGTAGTAATATTTAAATTAAAATTAATTATTATTTTATAAGATTATCAAAATCTTGACAACATCATTAAAATGTTACAAAAAATTATCAAAATTTACAAGAATACTACTTTGATAACATTTAAAAAATGTTACCTATTTATGCAAAAATGTTATTAAAAGTCTTTAGCAACATAGACTATATACGACATTTGATAATATGTTGCTAAAACAAATTAGTAACATTTATACATAATTAAGTAACATTTTTCAAATGTTACTAAATACCATTTGTGTTGTAGTATACACACATAAATGAAGTCCTGGTTAACAAAGTATTTGGTACAACATTGTTTTAAGCATTATAAAGGACAAACATACCAATCTTCGAAAATAAAATATTCCCTTTCAAACATACCAACATTGTTCTTCTTATTGAAAAGAAACCACACGTATAATACTTAATTTCTTTTCAAAACATCACATTAAATTTTGGTACAATCGGTTGGAGCAAAAGAAACCTTCTTCCCTTGGAGATCATACTCCACTTGAAAATCAATCTGTGCAATATTTCCAAAGATGGAAATTCCAGTACTCAAAGCTCTGGGTACTACCGCCAAGCACAGTATGTCCCTATCTTCAACCCAAAGAAAAAGGTTTTTAGGGTTCAAGGAAACCCTAGCTCCCGTAAATTGAAACGCAATATCAGGGAAAGCCATATTTTCACGATATGGAAAACAAAAGTTAAATGGGAATGGAAGATCCTGCGTTGCCTCAACAGTTAGGGCTTCTTGCAACGAGGCTACAAAATTGGAGTAAAAGGTTTGATCAATATACGTCAACACGGTCCCAGAATCAATGATTATGTTGCCATCAGTTTGACCCGTTTGCACCACCTTTTGTCCAATAGTTACCGATTCAAGATTGAGAAAGTAAAAGGTGGGCAAATTGGGTTTGATTATGAGTGGAGTGGACACAACCCCATTTCCAGTTATTGCTGCTTCAGTCCCAAATCTCAATTTGCTTGTGGAGTTTGAACTAAAAGGAAGCAAACAATACGAGAATTTGTAACCAATTTGATCACCTATTTGTGAAACTAGTGACAATGGTCCCGGTCCAAGACCCACTAGTCCCGTGACTTTGTCGCTAGTAGGAAACGATAAATTGTTGTAGAGTCCACATCCGAAAACAGAATTAGGAAAATTAACAGTTTGATTCTCAACCTTGGAACCCAAATTAATGGTTTCAGTGCCCAATAGTCCCGCGGTGAATGATTGCTCAACATATTGGTACACGTATATGCACTCACCTGAATTTCCACAACGACGTAGACGAGGTGGAAAATATAAGCAAGGTTGTGAGCCACATGACAAAGGGTTGAACGTGGAAGATTTAAGTGGTTCATACAATGGTGTGTCTTGTGGGAAACAATTCGCACAAGGGGAACATTGCACCCAAATAAGATCACTCCCCGTGTCTACAATAGCGAGTCTTTCCACTGGCGGGTAACCGATGTGAAATCTCATTAGGTATTCACCATTTTCTGGGATCAAAATAGTTTCGGGTGATTTGTTCTCATCTAGAGTGTGTGCAACTCTGTTGATCCGTGAAATGGAGCGCAATGCAGCGTTTTTTATGCGCTCTGATGGGGTGAGTGAAGGGTTGTAAAAGGGTGACAATGGTGAATCACGATGAATAAGGTCGACGCTGAAGCCCCTTAGAGTTTTCGAGGCTTCAGCGAAGGATGCAATGGAGAGTGAGCATAAGGCTAAAGAAAAGAACACGAAAGGATGCATGTTGAGGGGATTAAACTGAGATTTGAAGAAGTGGTTATGGGGAGCATGTTGAGGTGCCACTATTTAATGAGTTTTGAGTTTGCATGAGTTATTTCTCCATGTTGGGTTGGGGCCAATTCAACTTGTGGGAGAAATGGTTTTCTATCTCAACAAAGGCCAAATGTGAAATTGTTTAATAATTTTGAGAAATGGTTTTCGGTCTCAGCTTGGGAACGTTGAAGAAATAGTTAAATAACAATGAGAGATGGTTTACAGTCTCGAAAGATTATTTAGTTTTGTCTGCAATGAAGAGTGAGGTTAATTATATGTTTATACTATTCTTACGATTTTTATACCTTGTTAATTACGATGATCATTAGTTGACATGTGATGGAGATTCCTCAAATATTTGCACATTATTCCTTCCAACATATTATTTGTATCGGTTAAAATCACTAACTGTACCTATCGCTTAGCCATCTAGAGAGAAAGTAATACTTTTAGAGATAAAATTTCTCCTTAATTAAAAATCACAAATATCAAACCATTTGTTAATAATTCTTTTTATATATAAATACCTCAATATATATTAAATACTTGTAGTTTTTATGATAAAAAATATTCAAACAAGAAATCACGAGGAATGATTCAAATTCAATACCAAAAGTCATCTAATATAGGTTTTCATGTAAACGATAAATATTTAACATCAAAATACTATATATAAAAAGTTAACTATTCCAATATAAGGGAAGGGGAATAAAAGGTTGGAGAGAATCTAACCCATAATAAAATAAATATTAAATAGATTGAAACTTATAATAAATGTTACATATAGATATAAAAAAAATTTCATTGTAAATATAATATATGTAAATACAAATCTATTTGACGTATAATCAGTGACGGATCCAGAAATTTTAGATAGTGAGGGCAATAATTATTTATATATTTATATTGATAAAAATTTTACATATAAATTTTAAAAATATAAATATCTATCATAATTATTTTTTACAAACTTTTATAATTATGCTTACGATTAAAGATAAAAATAAGTTAAGTCAAACTATGTTATATTATAATTTAATAGGTTTGAACCTAAATTTTTTTCAAATACATGTCCTAAATATACTTATTTATCTATCATAAACATTTTTTTAAATATTTTGTTAGAACTACAATTCTAAAAATATACTTTATAATAATTTAATACTAATAAAAACATAAAAATAAATATTTTAAGTTGTATAAAAATTAAGTTTAATTTATTTATAATATAAACATGTTTTTAATATCTAATATAATATTTTAGATAATAATTTATTTCAAACATATTTTATAATAAAAAATTTAAATAGAATATAAATATTCTAATCATTTCTATTTTGATTTTTTTAATCAACGTATAGAATCTTACAATATTTACTATTTTAATTTTTTTAATTTATGTATACATAAATAAAAAGCACAAAAGTTAAATATATATGTTACAAAATTTTTATTTTATCAAAAATTAAACTTTTTAAAAAAATTAATTCGTTATTAAAAAATATTCTTTATCACATATGAAAAGTAATCTCCTTCAAAAATTTGATAAATATCAAATAAATGAACAACTCTTTTTAACTTGTATTTTATAATATGATAATTTAAATATAAATATTTCTTTAGTTAAAATATAATTTTTATTTTTAAAAATATATTATATTTTGGATAAAAAAAATGTGTTGGAAAATGGTAGTGGGGGCACATGCCCCCACTCTCTCATACGAGGATCCGTGCCTGCATATAACTATATATAATTTTAGTATTAATTTTGAATGAGATTCAACAATATATATTATGTGTCACTATAATATTTACTTATACGTTTTAACAATATACTAATATATATTATATTTATAATATGAGTAAAAATATTTTTAATGACAAATATTGTATTACTATAAAGTGTTTCATTATATGACAATTTTTTTATAAAAAAAAATTATAGCATCAAACATAAAATGCTAAAAGTAAAAAAAATATTTTCTCTCTCTAAATAAAAGGTTAGGAGATGCAAAGTTAAAAATAGATGTGAACAAAATGAATATATTTGAAGCTTTCCACCCTTTCTTGGGGGGATTTTCCACAAGGCACTCACAAAGGAGCTTAGTCATTTATATCCAAATTTTAGAAGAGCGATTATATTTTATTTTTCATCTGTAAAATGCTAACAGCTTTTAGTGTTTTTAGGAGGAGGGGCGACTGCTTTTATTTTGATATACCTAGGTCTGTTTCTGATTTGAAAAATTAATTAAATTTCTAAGATATTAACATATATGTAAATTAAATTGTTAAAATTTAACTTTCAACACTTGAAAAATGTCATTAAGAAACTTGTTTAAATTACTCATTTTCACACATATTCACATCGGCACTTAATTCGATAATTAGTAAATTATTTTATTTTAATTCATTTTATTTAAATCAATTTTATTATTTAATTAGAAATAGTATTAATCTGTTACGTTTCTATTAAATAAAACTTGAGAATTATAACATTTGAAACCTGGTGGATTTATAAAAATATTATTTAAAAGGTTAATATTTATGTAATGTCATAAAAATAATTACACGAACAAAAAGATAAATGACAAACTTTTAAAATTCAAAAAAGGATTCAAGTCAGAGCACTGACTATATACGTTCTCATCATTTTCCTAGAACAAAATATGAAACATATACAACTACAAAAACATTCTATGTAACATCACCTTGATGTTGCCTTCTTTTCTTGAAGAACGTTGTCATCATAATATCTATCTTTAATAGAATTGTCACTCATCTAGCATCATCCACATGTCCCTAAGTTAGTTGGTCACCTTAATTTCAAAGATTATCCTACCATGCATACTAGAGATGAATTCCTCTCGTAATAAAAATTAATGTCTTTGAAAAAATGCCATGGACATATACAAGGAAAAGAAATAAAAGAGAGTCATGTGGTGTGGTTTCTATATCATTTGCCACAAATGACGTAGGATTTCCTACATTATCATTTACATATATAAAAATCTTAACACACAAAAATAGAGCGGTACGTAATCATAGGGTTTGAGCCAAGTTCTCATATTATTAATGTTGATGGGAAAGTTTAACCTAATAACAGTTTAATAAAAGAATAATAACTTAAATACATAAGAGGCACAAATATCTTTAATGTGAAAAACTCCTTAATATAATGGTAAAATTCATGAATAATTCAGACAAAATAAAACTCTATAATTACTTACAAATGAAAAATAAGATAAATAAAAAAATAGAATTATTCTTGTGAAATACATTTCTCCCACTCCAGACCCCCTTTTAACAATTTAACCATTAAAAATGAATAACCATGTTCTATGAATCTACTTTCCAAAAATCAGCTTCATCCAACAATAAATGAATATCTAGATACAAATAGAAATCTGTTTGCAAAATAGATATGTAAATTCAATAACAACTTTCTCTTTTTTTTTTTCCTATATTTTATTATTATATATTTTTCTCTCAAAAATGAATTACTCTTTCTATTCTTACGTACACTACAACAAAATTTGTTATTAACGATAATTATTTAATGACAATAATTTAATTATTGCCATATATAAAAATATTATTGACTAATATATAATAGCCACTAAAATGTATTTATATTACACTAAAGTTTACTATTAGCGACAATTAGAAAAAACTTAAGTCTCACATCGATTAGAGATAAGATAATTACATAGTATATAAGTGAGTAATAACTATCACCTTATTGGTTCATTTTATAGGGTTGATTCCTAATTCACTATTCTAAATTGGTATCAAATCACCCATTTTACCAAATTCAATAGTGTTATAAAATAATTAGAGAACAACTTTCATCTTATAAATCTCACATTTCTTAAGAGACAAGACAATTAAAAAATATATAAATAAAAGACAACCCTCGTCTTACAAATCCCACATCGAGTAGAGATAAAAAAAAGTATATAAGTTATGAATTTAGAAAAGAAAATTATAGGAATAAATTATTTAAAGTAAAGGAGACAATTGAAAAAAATAACTTTTAATAGCTTTTAAAATGGCTACTAGAACTGCCACTAAAAAAATAAGTTTTTTCGACAATTTAGTAGATCTTTACCAGCATTTTATATAAATGCCAGTAATAGTATTAGCAACACTAGATATACCAGCCTTTATTTAAATGCTAGTAAAAAAAATAATGATCATTTATATGGCCGCTAAATAATAAATTAATTGCCACAAAAAATTAATTTTGGTGTAGTGATAACTCCTCCTCACTTGAATAAGTAAAATATAATGAATTTAAACATTTAAATTTGTTCTCCACAAGGGAGCCCAAAACCCAACGAATGCATGACCATGAATACATTCCTCGATATTATCTTAAAAACATAATGTCAGGAGAGTGATTAGGAGTATATCTCCCGAAAACGGCACCTCAACAAAGGTAGGTGGCGGAGGTATCAAGTGGATTACGTGATCATCTCTATCTTCAAGCTATAGCCTAACCATTGAGATTATGGAAAATCGATTCTTCAACCATTTAGAGACTATACATTTGTCCTATTCTTTTATTACGTAGCATACCTACTATAACTTTCCAAGTACATCCATAACACATATCTTAACTCATATGTGTGGCTTAACTTGGTATCACATGCTTACAATAGTACATAATTAATTAAATTATTATTATGATTATTTCTCAAAAGTAATAATTATAATAATAAAAGAATATGTTAAGCAACTTTTTTTTACGAGTAAGAAAAATTATAACGTTTGGTTGTGAAAAATATTACAAGTATGACAACGAAAATCAAATTTACGTCTTCTTAGGATTGACAACAATAATTAATTAGTTTAAGGGTCAATTAACTAATTAATTATAATTTAATTAATTAATTGACAACAAATTTAATTAAATATTGTTGGATAAAAGATTATGATAGATTATGATATCTTATCATATTTTTCTTGTTGTAACAAACTTTATATGTTAGTTTCTATATTATAGGTTAAATTTGAATTTTGTAGATAACTCTTAATACTAAAAGGTAATTATCTTTTTGATATACTTGTAATTTGTTATCATGATGTTGCATAATTAAA